TAATATTTAAGAATAGTACAAATAAATATAAAATAAAATTATACTTATATTATGTATCACCCTTAAGAAATTATTGGTCACACTATAGTTATCGAGTAAATGTTACCATAAACTTTCTCTATACATATACAYATATTTCAAAAAAATGTGATGTATATAGCAACCCAAATATTTCTAAACATTAAATTACTATAATATAATATTATTTTTCATGTACATGATGCGGACACGGTTGTTATAACGAATAGAAATACACAACAATAATACATCACTTACCGGCCTTGTTGGAGATTGGAAAATAAACGATAYCTCATTAAAAGGAACTCGAAATAAAAGTCATTCGCGATCGCGGAAAGTGCAGTATAATAATATTATATAGGCGTCTGTGTGTAGCTCAAAAATCAATACTCAGTCGTCCCGTTTAAACATCAGGTGGGATATGTATCAATATGACGTCGCAGAGAGAGTTGCCAACCTGTTTTTCTGGTCGTCTCTTAAGAGTTAAGATCATAACAACAGAGTCWATACATAATATATTATGTATTAAGTACATAAGTATATTAGTAATTGGTCGAACTGTTCAAATCTTGAACCCTTGATGTTTGGTTCGGTTCGAAATTCGAACTTGGYGTGGAAAAAATTCGTACCAAACTATCAAGCATATTTTACTGTTTGAAAATCAAACTTGAAAATATTTGTTGAACTAGATTTCGGACTTAATAGCCAAGATAATTCAAAGATCAAATATTTGTACAATTCAAAAGTTATTCTTAAAATAATATAAAAATTGATATAATGATTATTTAGAATAAATTACTATATAATTATTAATTACTGATAATATTTTTTATATATATTTTGAAAACGAATAATWAATATTATGTTGAGTTCGAGTTCGACTTGAACTGATTCTAGGTTCGGTTCGGGTTTGAAAAAAAWTTTTAAGTTCAGTTCGATTTAAAAAATCAGGGTTTGATCYATCACTAAACTATATTATACAGCGATTACTTCTGACAATCCGATGTATAGTTGTCAGATACTAATAAAACAAAACGCATACAATAATGAATGAATAAATATTACATCACTTTATAATATTGTTTTATTTTTCAGWAATTTCATAATACGATAACCACCAAACAACCCCATTTTATACACTTTAATATTGTATGAACTACTTTTTATTCTAACTTGATTAGCTTTRCTACATAATTGAYTTTAACCTAATTTAAAAGTCTAATATAGTTTATGTATGTATAGGATGTATAGCAATATAATATATATTAGATATAACTACAGTCTACACGTGAATGAACTCAAAGRTGATTTCCTGAAGCTTTTCTAAATTTTATTTCTTGATTATTGTGATAGTCATATTCAGTAAATATTTTAAACTATAGAATCCTTATAGTTAAAATATTTATTAATAACCTTTTATCCAACTGAAGTAATATAGGAGATTTAATTCTCTACAGTTACATGAATCTTTTTATTAACCATCYACATGGATAGTGGGCACCCACAATCAGTGTTGGGATTAGAWAAGTACTTTTTTTATCTTTTAGTACTTTTAAAGATAACAGGACAAAAATGTATCTAGATAAAGATAAAAGATAACACAATTCATATTTATCTAGATTAAGATGAAAGATAAATACATTATTATCTAGATAAAAAAAAGATACATTTTTTTAACACATTAAAATCCAAAACATTTTAAGAGTACACCTTTGATACTATACTTAGTACTTCAATATTATATAAACACCGGTTATATGAGTAAATTAATGTTAGCAGTAGACATTATTATTAATAAATAACTAAGGTACCTATAACTGAAAAAAAAACATTTTTTAAATTAAGTATAAATATAAAGAAAAAACTACATATTTTACACGACTCGTAACAATGTAATGTAGGTATATTTGATCACCGTGCCCCTAACGAAAATATCAATAATAAAATATAATACCTGTATAATAAATAACATTATTATGAAAATATGAACATATTTTTTTTTTTTATCGAGATGACTCGACAATTCAAATTTAAAGTATTGGCTAGTTATCATAAAAATAAATTGACAATCAAAATGTGTATTATATTTTTTTGTATAGAGATGAATTTATC